TCTCTCTTTCTCTCTAACACACACACACACACGCACACACACACACAAACACACACACAAACACACACACACACACGCACACACACACACACACACACGCAAACACACACACACACACACACATGCACACACACGCAAACACACGCACACACACACGCAAACACACGCACACACACACACACACGCACACACACACACACACACAACACACACGCACACACACACACACACACACGCACACACACACACGCAAACACACACACACACACGCACACACACACGCACACACACACACAAACACACACACGCAAACACACACACACACACACACACACACACACACACACACACACACACAATGACTCATTCAAAGAATATAAACATGGTTACATACCTCGATGACGTTCAGGCATGTAAACAATATGAGCTGCTTGTCCAAAAAACATCCAGAAAAGCAGTCATTGTCTTTTAGTTCCTGGAGACAATTTATCCAGTGCTGAGCATGATGTCGTCTCAGAAAGGCCCACCAGACTTCAATACGCTGATTGTGATTGCTGGATCCAGTAATAATACAGTTTCTGACGTTCGGATCCATAGTCCAGCGCAAGAATCGTTGCATCTCGGCCATTATGACATTTTCTGTTCCTAAATCAGAGCGAATCCTAGCAGGTGTTCCCATCTTCTTTTCAACTTCTGCTATGAAATATCCAGCAATGACCTTGGGATCATTGTTTGTTGAATAGGCATGAAGCCAAATCATAACTCTTGATTAGGCCATCAATAGCTCCATTTATACAGATTCCAAAAGGCTTCAGTTTGTCATAGGAGTCAACATGCCACATGAAATTTGGTCCAGGATTTACATACGTGCGTCGCATTAGGCGATTTCTGCATCGTTGCTCAACACCGTAAGGGTCAAGATATTTCAGTAAATGTCTCACAGTACTCTGCGTGACAACATAACCTGCCTGAATGCAGTTCAGGTGATGTAGTTTGTATCCATGGAGCCTCCCATGTCCCTCCAGTTGATCAATAAGAAATCGTGCTACCTCAATCGGATCGGACTCATTCTTTCTCCTGTACAGTCCCATGCGTTTTAGGTTTCTTCTAAGTGTCCGCATGCTTATCACAATACTGTCCAAACTGCTCAATAACAGCAAAATCTCCCCATGCCTCAATCCAAGCATAAAATGGAACTTAATTAATTCCAATAAATGAGCCATTTTCTCACACTCTGATCTGCACTGTCACCCACTTCACGATGTTTTACGCTTCCGTATTTTTACGGCAATATATCATGCTCGAACAATAAAAGATATGTTATAACGTGAAAACTTTTTTGTTCAAACAATATAATTATCACGTACAATATAATATTTATATTGTACGAACGTGATAATTATGTATATTGTAATAACGTGATATTATGTTGTTCAAACGTGAAAAGTATCTTGTTAGAACATGAAAAGTATCTTGTTAGAACAATAAACTTTTCACGTTATAACGTGATACACTTGTATTTTTCTTTTGCCTGGGTGGCAGCTCTATGCTTCCGTAGTTTTTTGCTCTATAAAATAGTTTTTTTTTTAAATCATTCATCTTAGCAGTGGGATTTACATGAAAAGAGAAACAAATTAAGTTTAAGTGAAAATGTAAATTTTTTGCACTCTCTGGTCAACTGACTCAGTGAATCAAATGACTCAAAAAACCCGATTTACTTTGGTGAGTGACTCATTAAAACTCGATTCAGTAAAAAGAATCAAATTTACCATCACTAGTGTGGAGGCGAGGAAGAAAGAACCCAAACGCAGGACTCGCAGGTAGGTGAGGACTAGTGAAGGTTTATTATAAGGAGTGGATGAACAGAGGGTGAACGGACACTGACTGGCTGGACAATTGAATGGCTGACTGAACTGAGAAAACACACGGGAAGGACAACATCACACGAACATCAATGACACGACAAAGAACTGGTGAAACCGAGGAGCTTAAATACACAGGTTGAATGATGACAATGATTGGAAACAGGTGAGTACAGGGCTGAACATAATCTGACTAATCACACAAGCTGACACGGGAAAAACAGGAAATGAGAACATTAATGTGGCGAACTAAACTGAACATGAACAGAACTGAATCACTGGGTCAGCGACCCAGGAAACCTGACAACAGCAACAAGTTTAATGTTCAGAAACCTAAAGTCTGTATCAGCAGCAGAATGGAGCTAAAATAAATGTTGGTTCCAGTTCTATGAAGCTTTGAGTATTTTGGATCAGTAGCTGCTGTGTTTGTTGCATCATATTGCTGTAACTGTTTATTTGCTTTATATATTCTGAGCTAAGTTGATCTATAGTGTTACATCATATTCTATAAGGATGTTATGTGTTTGTAGACTTTCTGCCCAGTTTGACCCATTTAGCAGAAGTCAGCCTGTTTAAGGCTCTGATATCTATTCTGTGTGACTTAAAGCAGTTATGACATGGTCTGATTTACTCACCCAATAAAGGAATATTTCATATATCAGTCTACTCTTCATTCTATCAGACACAGTTACCACAGCTCATACATTTGCTTATATATATATATATATATATATATATATATATATATATATATATATATATGTATATATATATGACAATACTATAATATTGCCCATATTATATTTACATTACCAAAGTGAGATGATTTTAGTCTCATGAACAACATGAGCTGATTGTTATTTACTAACTAATCTTAAATGACTGTTCAGCACAGAAATGAAATGAAGCCCAACAATCATGTTTTACAGTCCTGTGGTCTCAGCCTCAGATACTCAACTAATCAAATCAACTAATCAAAGTGATGTCACGACATATATCAATGACCAACAAAACATTTTTCTCCTTCATTTCTGTCACACAAAGCCGTATGAAACGTTTCTCGCGGTTAGTATCATGGTTGCTAGGCAACCTGAGCAGCGCGACGGAGGCTAGACCGTCACAAGCCTCTCACTTCTGCACTTCTCGTACTTATAGTACGCACCGTACGTAGTGCACGTAGTTCAAGCGTGCGGTCTCTTCAAGCGTGCAGTTTCTTAATTAAGAAACTGGATGTTGTGTTTTCCCCACAATTTTAATTTTATGCTTGATATATTTCTACTAATGAAATTAGTTTGCTAACAGCAACAGGGATGAGCCAGTGAGTCAGTTGGGCTTGTTGGGCACGAGTCAGTAAAGTGATTCTTAAGTACTGAATGAGTCGTTCATGATTCACACATCACGAATCATGTTCATATTTTGGATTTATACCTTCACAGTTTCTCTCATGCTCTTGCTCACCATCATGTTCAGATTCATAGTTATCACAGTTACCATAGTGTGTTTCCCAGTTTAGGTTTAGCTTTAGTTCTCACCACCTGTTGTTTCTGCCTTGTTGTATTGTCCTGTATTCCATCAGCCAATAAAAAGCTCGCTTTTAGTTTCCCACAGTTTTGTCGTCCTTCATGTTCTGCTTTGAAATTACATGCCGCTGTGACAAAGTACCAACAAATATACATCCAACTATATAAAGTATAAATTACTGGACCTGCTATCATGTGATGAAGTGAAAAGTTTATTTCATGCAATTCTTTGTATTGCTCCTGTCAAAACTGTTAATATACACAGTTCACCCAAAGCATCCTGGAGAAACAGTGGAACGGTAAAAAAAACTTTCACTATCTCTGGGTGCATTGACCACACCTTGGTCTATGAGTAGAAGTCTGCAGGAGATCATTACCGGGCCTGTACAGGCTTTTGGCCAACTCTCCTACTTACCTCACTCACACACCAAAACCACAACCAAGCAATCTGTAAATCCAAACACACACTGACTACAACAGCCACGTTGTACACCCTGAAACCAATAGCTCTTGCCGACTCACACCCTTCTCTCTCATCAACAACAAGTTCCACTCCAACCTCCTGAAATGACACGAGGGAACTTAAATACGGGCTTAGCTAAACCATATGACACACAAGGGGAAAACAAAATGGCTGCCATATAACAAACTAAGACAAAACAATTAAAAAACTCTTAACATCCCCTAGGCAATGAAGCACATGGTTTAGTCCAATGAGGCTGTCAGCAGTACTTTAGATCAGCAGTCCCCAACCCCCGGGCCTCGGACCGGTACCGGGCCGTGAGTCGTTTGGTGCCGGGCCGCGAGAGTTGAGGCTCAGGTGTGAAATGTCTGGTTTTCAGGGTTTTTATCGGTTTTCAGCGTTATTTTATTATCGTTTTTATCGTTAACTCGGTTTTCCTGGGTCTTTTCACGTGTGTTATGAATAAAGCTTCTTTTTTTCGGTACTAGTTTTATGTTGTTGTATTTATCCGCGACACCTTAAAGGCCGGCCCGTGAAAATATTGTCGGGCATAAACCGGTCCGTGGCACAAAAAAGGTTGGAGACCGCTGCTCTAGATCCTCCAGCCCTTTGCGACACCATTTGCCGACTAGCAAGGAGAAGCCAAACCCCCAGGTAACTCAAACAAAGAAAGATGTATTAATATAACAAAACACTTTGACCTTGCAGTGTTGATATGTGTGCACTCCATAAAAACATTGTAAGGTGTGATGGGAAAAGTAAAGTAAGTTATTAAAGAAAGAATATATTTGACAATAACTAAAATATATTTAAAGTAGTGACTGTAAAGTAAACTAAAATGATGGAACTAGTGGTGAGGTGTGGAGCTGGACTTTTCTGAAATACCAAGATTAGTTAACTGACTTCATTCTCACAAACATTGTTTGGCTGCGTGGTTTGGTATTAATATATTAATATTGGTGGAAGTTCTGTATTCACTGACAAAATATTCTGCGTGGGTTGCAGTCTTTTTCAAGTTAACTAAAAGTTTATTTCCTGCACATTTAAGCTGTATAACAATGCATGAATCATATAAATGATGAAAATATTTATCATACAGCTGAAAATTTAAATAATAAAGTTCATAGTTACATTTTTTTCTCTTGCTTGACTCACCTGTAAAATGTAATCCTGATCTTTGGATGATAAAGTTCAGCTGGAATGTGAGTTCATGCGTAAGATGGTAGGATTCGTTCATATCATCACAAATTTCTGCAAGTTATTTCCCCTCAGTTCTCTTTTTTATCATGCAGAGAAGACCTGCCCCTTTGGGCTGGGACTGTAATGAGAGAAGCCAGAGATGAGTTTGATAGAATAGAATAGAATAGAATAGAATACAACTTTATTGTCATTGCACATGTGACAAATATAAGGCAACGAAATGCAGTTTGCATCCATCCAGAAAGTGCTTTAGCCATGATATAGATATAATATAGAGAATATAGATCTATTATAGATATGTTACAAATGTACATAAAGGTATGTTATGAATATACTGTAACTATAAATATGTACAGGCCAAAACTGTAGTGAATGTACAGGCTATGAACAGGTTATATGCGTATGGTATAATATGAAGAGCTATAACAGATGGTAGATATACAATTGCAAGTATTAATAAACAGTTGTAGAACTATAATTATTGTATTGCACAGTGTGATTGTCTATACAGTATTTACAGTAGTGCAGTTGAGATCAGTGAGATATACGGATAAATTATACAGTAGCCATATAAAGTGCCAGTGCTTGTAAGTGGCCGTTCAGTCCATGTGAATATGAGGGTACATTTGTAGGCAGACACACAAACCAAAAAATAAACAATATCCAAGAAAAACATAGACATATTTATATTTTTATATAATATATTTATATATTAATATAAATATTTTTATATATACATATAAACATCAATATGTAAGTCAAAGCATTTACAATTTTCAACACCAATGTAATGACAGTGTTTAAGGTATTTCTGCTTCTAATTAACCTATAAAAGATGTGATGGATGGATTACTATAACTTGTAATGTTATGGTGCTTTGTGTCTGTGAAGGTTCTCAGTCATACAGATCATCGTAGTCTAAGGAGCTTGAAAAGAAAAGCGTCTTCTTTAGTTTCCTTAAAGATGTTTCATGCGAGAAGCTTCTTCAGTTCTAAGAGCCCTTGGTGGAGAGCCCCAGATTTAATCGCTATGGGGGTGTCACCAAGAGGGTCATGGACCCCCTGTTGATCCTCTACCTAATCATTTGCTTTCACATCAGATATGAATGTGACATTTATATGTAGTGCAGGTGTAACCCAGCTGGAGAAATGAGTAAACATAAGATTTGTTTAGTTTCAGAATCATTCTTTTATTTGTTTTATTTTATTGTTGCAAGAAGTGATAATGTAACAAAATGTGTTGTATTCCCACACTTCTTGCTGTGCCTAGCAGAAGCTTTAATTTTGAAGTTTTCACAGGAGGTTGTGTGTTTACATGGCGTATTGTTACCAGCCATTTGACGAAAAAGAAAAATCCAATGCTATCTTGATTAGCAGCAGAAACTGTCTCGTTTACAGAAGCAAAGCTTCATAAAAGTTGTTATAAAGTGTTCAGAAGTTATCGGCTAACATTTCAATAGTGAAGTGAACGTTAGACAGAGCTGCCGAAATCAGCAGAGGTGGCGGCTAAGTTAATAGTGTTCCACGTGTCTTGGTAAGGTAACTGACTTATGTTCAATGATTGTAATGATGATGCTAATCATAGTAGTTGATGCATATTTTTCTACTGTATGTGTCATGTCAATGATAAGTGTTTGTGTTAAGAGGGAATAAATGCAATTTGCAATAGTTTTGTGCCAAATTTAGTGTAACGTATGTTCTGAAGAAATTTAAGCTTTAACATTTGTATTTCATTTGTCTAATAATTGTGTTACGTGTGTGTCTATTGCAACTAGTGGTGCAACGGATCGCGGTTGATCCGTAATCTGAACCGATCCCACTCCACGGTTCGGCACGCACGCTATCCGAAGATTCGAAAAAGAAGAAAAAAAAGTATGTGTATGGTGGCGTGGTCAGTCTGTCAAGCGATAGCTATGGTCAGTGCTGGCGGTCCAAGTGGAGGAGCAGAGGAGTTTGCGGTATTTAAGCAGCCCTTTGCTGCCCAGTCTGACCGGGCTAAAGCTATTACAGAAGCTACTGGGGTGTTTAGCTGCAGACGGGAGGCCGTATTCTGTTGTGCAAATCAAGGGGTTTAAACTAGTCAACGCGTTAGTTGATGCATTGACACCGTGCAGCCCCATGCACGGGCCGATACGCGGTAACTAGTTAACGGAGATTTGCTGCGTTAATGCAGTTATGGCATTAACGTCATTTTAACGAGATTTACGCTGACAGCACTTGTTTAAACTATGATGAACTATGAACGTGCTTGAGCCACGCTATGATATCCTGTCGCGCGTCCACTTCAGTGACAAGATCGTTCAGAGCATGTATGAGCAGGAAAAGTTTAAAGTTATGGCTGAGCTGTCCCAGGCATTTTCTGTTGCCCAACTACTACAAACGGGTGGAGCTCCAGGGCAACGGAAAGCCACGTGACCATGACCGCTCATTATATCACAGCGGAGTGGTAGGTAGAAAGCCCTGTACTGCCCTATATTGCACCTTAATTTGGTTTCATATAATTGCGTGGAATGAGTCTTGAGTTGAATGTTTTTAACAGGCAAAAAGTACTTAAATAAATAAATGGCGAGTTAAATTTTTGTCTTCCTTTTTTTTTCTGCTGATCCGAAAATTGATCTGATTGAACTGTGAGACTTTTGATCTGTTGCACCAGTAATTGCAACTATGTTGGTTAGACAAAAGTTCTAACACGAGTTACAATTTAATCAATTTAATAACTGAAGAGTACCACACTCTTTCAGGATGTAAGTAACTGCAAATTGCTGAAATAAGTGATAGATCAGAGACTATATACCTATTTTTAAATACAGGTCAGGTCTTTTAGTGAGCTTTAAGCTCAATGAGAAAAGACCAGTGATTCCAATTGATGGCAAGCCTCCCAGCGTGATTTCCAGCATCCAGATCTGCACAACCAGTCAGATGGCTGATTTCTGGTAGGATTCCACCAGTCACCCCGACTGGCAACAGTGAACAGACTAAAAGAGTGCACTCTAGACTACAAAAACACCAAGTGTGAAACTTCACTAGACTTGTTGCTGACTGACAGATCCTTACAGATCATTCCCTCATCCGATCTGTGCTTTGACTTGACTGACCCTCTATAAACTCTGAGGAACAAACTGAACTATAAGGTTGCAGCCTAACAAATACTTTCAAAGGGACAATTTCAATGATTAAGGACAATGTGTTTCATTTTATTTTGTAAAGGGTCCTAGTTGTTATTTTTGTTGTGAACTGTTACCTGTTGAAACTAAAGTCACAAGTTAACTGAAATTTCAGTGTATTCTGATTAATCGCACTCATGTCCAGCTCTTCCCCGAACTTGGAGTGAGGTGTGCTTACCCAGGAGTGGATTACACAAGCAAACAGAAAGTGCAAGCTAGTGGTTAAAATGAAAAAGGAGGTGGCTTCCAGGAAAGTGGGGTGAGGAAATGAAACAGTTGATTCCAAGAATGGACTGAAAGCATAACAGCGCTGAACAAACCCAGTGTTCAGCAGTTCATTTCTGACGTGTTTGTGTGTTTTTATGTCAAATATCAATATCAAATTGCTTATATCAATAAGTGCACTGTAATCAAAATGTGAAGGGGTTATACAGTCCAGGAATCAGAAGCTTTGCTCACTTCCCAAAAATTAACAGTCTCTCGTTTTTATGGCAGTTTCATTTAAATTTTATTTTTATGTTGCTGAGGAAAATACGTGTTTCATCCCTTATAACCCAGCCACAATTCTGGCTCCCACAGGCCGGCTGTGCCCATGTGACTCACATTTAATAACCTTTGACCCCTCATAGTTGATATTGTTTCTTCACATGTTTAAGGTTACTCAAGTGCTTCTATGAGAGTCAAAATGAAAGTTATAATATTTGCTAACATTGTACAAGTGAAGGACTACAAGTCACTTCACTAGCTTACAGTTAAGAGTAGAGCTTCAGGGGACACAAAAAATCTTCATCATTAATTAACTCCAACAATATTGATATTCACAGTGTAAGAATAAGAGGTTACTATACTATATTAAAATCCCTGGAAGATCCTCATTACATAAAAGTTAACTTTCTTTTTTTCTTCAAAATATCAAATTGCTATGCCTTACCTGTACTGTGCCAGGGACATCGGAGACTGCCATCAGGACAAGCAAGACAAGCAGTGCTTGCCTAATGAAATCTAAAAACAGACAACAATAAAACCAAAGTGAAAGTGACCCTCTCCCTTCATCTTGAACAGGGCTCTTTCCCATCTCTGTCCCATTAATAACACTGTAAAAAAATCTGTAATTTAACACAATTTTTTCCAAAAACTTTCTAGAGAATTTTCCTGCCATCTTAAAGTATATAAATACATAAAAATATAATTATTGTAATTTAACAGATGGCATATTTTATAGTACTTCTGTGCATCTTTAGTCATTCTTTTAATTATTACCTAAAACTGGTAAAATTACAGAAAATATTGATCATATAAATGCACAGTTTAGGTATTTTAAGCAAATGGAGACTAAGATTTAACTAACAAAAACCTAAACTGAGGAAAACACTTAAACACTAAGTTGGATCCCCAGAACCAGGACACATTTAATATCTTGATGCACGCTCAGTCATCCAGGTAATTAAATCCCAAAACGTTGATTCTGTTCATCTGGATGTTTTCAGTGGCAGAAATGTTTCATCATCATCCAGGTGACTTCTTCAGTCTCAGCTGACTGAAGGTTTCCCCATCTTATAAACAGGACATTTGCACTGTGAGGTCAGTTCCTTGATCATTAATATACATACAACATACGCCTCATATACACACATTGTGTGATTATTTACAGCTTATACTGTTTTTTATTGTTTACTGATATTACTGCACTACAGAGAGGGTGAGAACCAACGTTTCCTTTCAGACAGGCATTTCTGTAAATACCATGAAATGACAATAATCCTTCTTCAATCTTGAACCTTGAAAAAGAGAGAAAGATGCTTCACTGGACAAATCTATCACATGAAACATCTACTTTGGACGGTGCCTCTCAGACACCCAAACCCCTGCCT